TGCCCCCTCCCTCTCCCCTGCCCAGGTAAGTGGTCACTTTTCTGCTTCCTCGTGGACGCTCAAGGCAAGTCCGGACCCCGAGGCTCCGGCGTTGGCAAAGGTGGGACGTGCCTCAGTGGCACCACCGCCGTCCCCCCACCCTCGCCCCCCTTCCCCCCTCTTCCTCCGCCTTCTCTCTGCAGCCTGTGCAGCCTGCGCCGTCTCCCACAGCAGGGACTTGGGACAGGGCAGGCAGGGCCGGGCCAGGGCCAGGCAGGAAGGCCACGGGCACGGGCACAGCAGACACAGGGAGCGCCTGGGCCGCCCCACCCCACCCCGACCCTCCCCACGCCAGCCACTCACGGGGCCTCTCTTCTCTCTCCCCGCTCGGCCGCTGCCTGCACAGTCTCTCCCAAGAACTTCAAGGTGAAGATGATCATGAAGACGTCCGTTCTGCTCAGCTGGGAGTTCCCCGATAATTACAACTCACCCACGCCCTACAAGGTGTGACCACCTGGCCAGCAGGTGGATGCGGGCAGGGGCTCGGCTGGGGTTAGGGCTCAGTCTGGGGTTGGTGCTGAGTCTCTCAGATCAGGGTTCAGTGAGAACTGGGGCTCAGCTGAGATCGAGGATCTGGGGTTGAAGCCCAAGATTGGGAAAAAGAGTTGGTGGTGGGATTGGGAATCGGAGTTGGTGGTGGCTTATCCTTCGATTATAGCTTACCTGGGATTGAGGCTCAGTCTGGGATCAAGGCTCAGTCAGGATTAGGATTCAGAGTTGAGGCTCAGCCTGGGATCAGAACGCAGGGTTGGGGCTCAGGTGGAACTGAAGTTCACTCTGGGGTCAGGGGTCATTCTGGGGTTGGGATCAGCAGGAATTAAGGCTCAGTGGGCTCAAGGCCCAGTCTGGCATTAGGGCTTAGTGAAGATTGGCACTGAGTCAGAGTTGGGTTTCCACCTGGGGTCAGGCTCTGCTGTAGTTGATGCATAGTCTAGGGTCGGGGGCCCAGGTTGGGGCCGAGGCCTCAGCTAGAGTCAGGGTTCAGCAGGATCAGGGCCCAGTCAGAGTTGGGGGTTCAGCCTGAGCCCCATCGGGCCCCACTGAGCCAGCCTTGGCCTGCAGATCCAGTACAACGGGCTCACACTGGACGTGGATGGCCGCACCACGAAGAAACTCATCACACACCTCAAACCTCACACCTTCTACAACTTCGTGCTGACCAATCGCGGCAGCAGCTTGGGTGGCCTCCAGCAGACGGTCACCGCCTGGACCGCCTTCAACCTGCTCAGCAGCAAACCCAGCGTCGCTCCTAAGCCTGACGCCGATGGCTTCATCATGGTTTATCTGCCCGATGGCCAGAGCCCCGTGCCTGTCCAGTATGCTCTCCCACACCCCTAGATTCCCTTTCACCCCCATCAGCCAGCTGTGTGACTGGGGCAAGACACGTAACCTCTCTGTGCCTCGGTTTCTTTGCCTGTCTATAAAACAGAGATAACATCAGCCGTAGCTCGTGGGGTTGTCCTAAAGATTCAGTGCTTCCTGTGGGCTATTATCACTAAATGTGCCCTTATAATGGCTCCTGCCACATTCCCTGACACCCCCATATGCCTGACCCTCCACTGGACAATGCCAGGGCCCCTGAGATTTGGTTCTCAGCTTCCAGACTCCAGAGCTGGGAGTCCCCAGTGGTGAAGAGAGGACTGTTCCTGAGAGGCAGAGAAAAATTAAGGATTATAAGAATATGTGGGCATTGAAGCTGGGGCTTTGAAGGATGTATAGGAATATGACAGCTAGACCTGCATGCGGGAAGCCTTCTAGGCAGAAGGCACAGTGTGATCGGAGGCCTTGAGGCTTGAGTCACGACCTGCGGTCAGTTCTGGCTGGGGCATAGTGGAATGGGCCCATTGTATGAACAGAAAAGAAGACTCGTGAGACAGATTTCTGCTTACCCCCTTGTAGCATGCCTGTAGACAGCCCCCCTCTGACTCTTCCGTCTCCCGATAGGAGCTACTTCATTGTGATGGTGCCATTGCGCAAGTCTCGTGGAGGCCAGTTCCTGACCCCACTAGGTAGCCCAGAGGACATGGATCTGGAGGAGGTGAGGGCCTGGGGCCCAGCCTGCAGGGCCCAGACATGTCCCAGCTTCTGTGTGCTCAGTTACTCCGAGCTGAACTCTGAGCCACCCACACCTCTGTTCCCATAGCTCATCCAAGACATCTCCCGGCTGCAGAGGCGCAGCCTGCGGCACTCGCGCCAGCTGGAGGTGCCCCGGCCCTACATTGCAGCTCGCTTCTCCGTTCTGCCACCCACCTTCCATCCTGGTGACCAGAAGCAGTACGGTGGCTTTGACAACCGGGGTCTGGAGCCTGGCCACCGATATGTTCTCTTTGTGCTTGCTGTGCTACAGAAGAGCGAGCCTGTAAGTGCTGAGTGCTGTGTGCACATATCCAGAGACAGCCTGTGAGTGAGGCAGACCCCAAAGAGGCTTCAGCCCCTGGGGCCCCGACCTCAAAGCCAGACAAAGACCCTCTCACCTCTCTATGATTGAAGCTGGACAGAGGGGAGGACTGGGGTTGGGGAAATCCTGAGGAAGGCTTCTTAGAGAAAGGACATTGGAGCTGGGGCTTTGAAGGATGAGTAGGAGTTCAACAAAGAGAAGGCATCCCAGGATTTGCATGTACAAAGGTGTGGAGGTGCAAGAGAAACAAAGGATTTCAGGGTGGCTGGGGCAGAGGAGGGAATAGAGAGAGCAAAGATCGGCAGGGACCAGGCCATACAGATCACTAGGGTCAGGATTCTTGGGAGCCATAGGAAGATTTAGAACAGGGAGGGGGACAGGTTTCTGTTTGAGGAAGACCCATCCGGCCCCCACAAGGAGGATGGGCACTAACGGAGGCCCCCCCTGTTCCTGCAGACATTTGCAGCCAGTCCCTTCTCAGACCCCTTCCAGCTGGATAACCCAGACCCTCAGCCCATCGTGGACGGCGAGGAGGGGCTCATCTGGGTGATCGGGCCCGTGCTGGCTGTGGTCTTCATCATCTGCATTGTTATCGCCATTCTGCTCTACAAGAAGTGAGCCCCCTGCACCCTCCACTTGACAGCAGGGAGGGCTTCCTGGAAGAGGAGGAAGGGTCTGGAAAGGGTCATCTCAGAGGATCGTCCCTGAAGGCCTCTGTGGTACACCTGGAGAAACTGAGGCTCAGAGAGGTTAAGCCACTCGAGGTCACACAGCCTGGGGAATAGCAGGGCTGGGGTTCAATACAGGCCAGTGGTTTGGCTCCCCCTGTTCACCCCAACACCGAATTCAGCAAGGTTTGGGGTAGAGGTTACCTCTGTGCAGTTTGATGATAATAGTAATTATAGTGGCCCCGTGGGGTATGTGCCAGCTTAGGAAGGAAGGGCTCAGACATGCCTCCTTGTGGTGGGAGCCAAGGAGGCAGGATGAACCCCATATTCCAGAGGAGGAGACCAAAGCTCAGAGAGGTTAAGAAAGCCACTCTTATGGGCTCTTATGGCCAGCACGCCCTCACCTTTCTTTTTTTCCCCCCTTCTCGCCTGTGCTTTCGGGAGCAGCAAACCCGACAGGTAAGAACTGGCCCTGTGGAGGAGACCAAAGCTCAGAGAGGTTAAGAAAGCCACTCTTATGGGCTCTTATGGCCAGCACACCCTCACCTTTCTTTTTTTCCCCCCTTCTCGCCTGTGCTTTCGGGAGCAGCAAACCCGACAGGTAAGAACTGGCCCTGTCCCTGGAGGCTTAATGCAGGGGGACAAAGAGGGGGCAGGTGGGGGTGCTGCACCCACAGGGTAAGGGGTACCTGGCTGCTCCAGCAGGCTGCCTCTGTGGTCACGCATGGTCCTGGAAACCCGTTGTATGTGTACACGGTTCTCCTGCTGCACATGCATGGGGGCTAAACTGTGTTCACACATGTGTGCGTGCATCTTACACATGCGTGTACTCAGGGGACTCTCCTTTCTCTCCATGAAGTAAGCGCAAGGACTCAGAGCCCCGCACCAAATGCCTCCTGAACAATGCCGACCTCGCCCCCCACCACCCCAAGGACCCCGTGGAAATGCGACGTATTAACTTCCAGACTCCAGGTATGTGCTTATCCCTGATGCCGGGGACTTTAATGGGGGAGGTAGCGGAGGAAAAGAGAAAGCCGCCACCTTGGGGGACCCTCATCTGCCCCCTCTGAACTATGCTTGGTGCAGTTAAATTCCTTATTCCCAAAGACCTCCCACCCTTTGTGGATCTGGGCTTGCAAGACTCATGGGTTGGATCTGCTTACAACTGAGTGAGGCTTTTTAAAGTTACATTTAACTGATGATTGCTGTCCTTTCCGGGAGCCTAAAGAACATCCAGAAACAAAAACCAAGAAAACACACACCAAAAAAACCCTCATTTCTTTTGACAGAAAGAGCTATGCTACTGTTTACATCTTGTCTCAAGGCCTCTCAGTGGTGGGAGTTGAGGTTTATCCTTGGACATTTTCCACAGTACTCTCTTGGGATGTGTCCCTAGTGAGGCACAGAAATTAGGCCTTCCCCATGCCCTGCACCTCTCCCTCCATCGCTACAGGGTCTCATGGTCTCCCAGCCTCTCCATGGTTCCCTGTAGATAACAGGACTCAGCTAAAGTCACCTGCTATGCCTGGCAGGATAACTGAATCAGGATCTTACCCCTGATCATCTTTGTGTCCAATGATTCACAGACTCCCCCATCTTCTCTCTCGTAATGGGCTCATGCCAGCTGCTTCTAACCAAATAGGGAATTTTTAATTTAACTGACAGCTGCTGTTCTCCTTATAGGCTCACAGCATTCACAGCATGGTTGCATCTGTCCCTCTGCCTGCACCTGGTCTCTAGTTCCTATCTCTGAACTGGTTCACATCAACTCTGTTTCCAACCAAATGGAGATTTTAAACCTTTGTATTTAACTGATGGCTGCAGTCCTTCCTTAAGGGCTCATGCCTGGCATCACATGCCATTCCTAATATACTCTCTTCTCTTTTCTGTCTCTGGGCTGGCTCATGTCACTTCCAGTTCCATTAAAATGAGGATTTTGACTGCATATATTTAACTGATGGCTGCAGTCCTCCTGAAGGGCTCATCCAAGGTGTCATATATCACCCCTAGTATACTCTCTTCTCTTTCTTGTCTGTGGACTGGCTTATGTCACTTCAATTCTCATCCAAATAAGGACTTTAAATATGTATTTAACTGATGGCTGCATTCTCCTGAAGGGATTATGCAGAGTCTCATATGTCACCCCTAACATGCATTCGTCTCTTTTCTGTCTCTAGATTAGCTTATGTCAGTTCTGTTTCCATCCAAATGTGGATTTTAAACATGTATATTTAATCGATGGCTGCAGTCTCCTGAAGGGATCATGCAGTCTCATATGTCACCCTAATGTGCTCTCATCTATCTCTGGACTAGCTTATGTCAGTTCTGTTTCCATTCAAATGTGGATTTTTAAATGTGCATTTAACTGATGGCTGCTGCCCTCCTTAAAGCTTATGGCACAGGCCCATATGTCCCTCCCCTACTGTCCAGTTTCTCCCTCACCATCCTGCATCCTCTTTCCCCAAAAATCTCCTCCACTGACCTCAACAGGGGACCCAAGGCTAGGCTGGTCTGGGGGGCATGTGTACAAAAGAGCCTATAGTTTTGGGGTCTTCCTGGAGTCACAGTAAAGGCCAGAGCTGGCTGTCATCCAGCTGGAGGTATACCCAGTTAGCAACTCCCATTGGTTCTCAGATTGGGGTCCAGGCAGCTGTGTGTCCCTCGTTGTTGAACTTGCTCAGCACTTTGCATCTGCCGGCCAGCAAGGGGTGGGGGATTTGGGCCCCCCCTGCGTGTTTTCATTTATTTATTGTTTGCTGTTTCTGCAGATTCAGGCCTCAGCAGCCCCCTCAGGGAGCCGGGGTTTCGCTTTGAAAGTTAGTTCCTTTGTCTCTGTTCTCAGCTTCCTTTCGCTCCCTGTTTGTTTCCATCTTTGGTTTCTCCATTCTGCCTCCTGTCTCTGTCCGTGCAGCCTCCCCCCACTGGCCTCTGCCCACCTGTCCTGCCCTGGCCCCTCGAGGAGGGCGGGGGTCTGGTCCATTGGGCCCTTAGGTGGCTGGTTGCATCTGCGTGTATGTATGTTGCAGGGGCGTGGGGGAGACATGTATATACATGGGAGATGCCTGCATGACAGGCAGGCCCTGAAGACCCCTTAGATGTGAGCTCTTGGGGACACCGGGCAGGGTAGGGGGCACATGGTAGGCTCAGAACAGCAGCTGTCTACCAGCCTGCCTGGAAATCTCTTGAAGGTTTAACACCTGATACACAGAGCCCCAGGAGAGGACAGGGGTCTGTAGACTGGAAGGGAGAGCCAAGCCCACCCCCCTCCCTCTGGCAACTACCCTGGAGGCCCCAAAGGACAAGGAGCTCTTAGAGGTCAAGGGCTTTTTGCACCTGCTCCTGCCCCACAAGAGTGCAGGGACAGAGGTGGACCCCCCCCCACACACACACACGTACTGCACCCCTGCTCTCCAATCCCTCAACTCTACCCAGCTGAAGGTTTTTTGGTCCCTCTGATTCCAGAGGTGTGAAGCCCCCCCTGGGCCCCAGACTCCCTGGCCAGCCCCGGCCCACGCTCACTCCCATTCTCTTGCCTGGTGCAGATTAAGTGTGATCAGTACTGGCCCAATAGAGGCACAGAGACCTACGGCTTCATTCAGGTCACATTGCTGGACACCATCGAGCTGGCCACATTCTGCGTGAGGACATTCTCCCTGCACAAGGTAGGGCCCCGGCAGGAGCTGCAGGGGTCAGGGGAAGACAGAGGTACCCAGGCTTCTGGCCAGGGAGCTCCCCACAGGAGAGAGAAGGCCCAGCATGTCCTCCCAGGCTGACCACATTCTATGGAGCTCACTTCATGGATGGAGAAACTGGACATCACTTGTCTCCAGCCATGGCAGGAATCCAACTTAACAATGAACCTGTTGCCCCCTTTCCTTCAGTCACGTCCCAGGTCTTCCTCATCTACTTGCCCTCTGGCATCACTGAGCTTAGGCATATGATGGGGCCCCCGCAGTGTCCCAGAGATGCCCTCAAGAAGACAGAGCTAGACAGACACCAGCAGCTCCGTGCAGTCATGGCTGGGATGGAGAGAATCTTTTGATATGCATTTAACTGATGGCTGCTGTCCGTTATGTGGTTCCATCTGTTTTTCTACATCAGTGATTCTGAATTGGGGCAATTCTGCCATCCAGGGGACATTTGGCAATGTCTGGGACACACATTATTGTCATGATGGAGAGGGGAGGGGCTGCTGGCACCACAGTATGCCCCTGATACCCAGCCAGGGCCACTGTCAACACCAAGAATGTGCTTGGTCCAAGTGCCAAAAAACTGAGTAGGTGAACAGGAGAGAGGAACATTTCTCAGTTCATTCACACATAATAAGCATGTACTGTGTCATGCCCCAACCTGGGCACTAGGATATAGCAGGGTCCAAGACAGGCAGGATGTTCTGCCCCTGTGGTGCTTACAGTCCAGTGGACAAGATACAGATGACAAACAGGTGAAATGACAAGAAATCTTACAGGTAGAAGGGGAAAAATAAAACGGAAGAGAGTATGTGTCAGGGACCTGGAGGAGTCTAGGGAGGGAGCCATGGGGAGATCTTAGGGAACAGACTCAGGTGGAGGGAACAGCCTGTGCAAAGGCCCTGGGGCAGGACTGAGCCCGGCGTGTTGGAGGAACAGCGAGGAGGCCCGTGTGGCTGCAGCACAGTGAGGGGGGGCAGGGAGGGGACAGGGCAGATTGTGCAGGGTCTTGTGAGCTGCGGGTTGGGCTTTTCCCCAGATGGATGTGGGAACCATGGAAGGCTGTGGGTAGAGGAGGATGGGATCTGACTCAGGTGCTCACAGGCACCCTCTGGTTACCATGGGGACAGACTCGGGGGGGCGAGGGCAGTAGCTGGGGGACCAGGGTGGAGGTGACTGTGCTGGTCCAGGGGAGTGACGATGGAGCTGGACCCTACATGGAGGGGTGAGAAGTGGGTGGATTTAGGATAGACTTTGAAGACAGAGCCGACAGTAGTGGCTGATGTGGGAGAGGAAGGGACTCAACAGTGATTCATTCATGATAGAGCTGCCATCAGCTGAGATGGGGAAGCAGGTTTGGGGAGAAGGTTGGGCACAGTGTTGGCCATGTTGAGTACGAGGCCCCTGCAAGACTCACGTGGAAACATCCAGGGGGTGGGCAGACACTGAGTTGGGTACTCAGGGACGTGCTAGTCTGGAAGTATGAATTTGGGCATCCTCAGCATGTGAGTGGCCAGCTTCAGTGACAGGCGATGTCCCCGTGGTTCTCAGAATGGCTCCAGTGAGAAACGTGAGGTCCGCCAGTTCCAGTTCACAGCGTGGCCAGACCATGGAGTGCCTGAGTACCCAACGCCCTTCCTGGCTTTCCTGCGGAGAGTGAAGACCTGCAACCCACCCGACGCCGGCCCCATCGTGGTCCACTGCAGGTACGTCCACCCTAGCCACCCTGCCCACCTGCTCCTGTCTCCCGCTCCCTGTGGCCCCTGAATGCCACATGGCTTTCCCTGCAGCGCTGGTGTGGGCCGCACAGGCTGCTTCATTGTCATCGACGCCATGCTGGAGCGGATCAAGCCAGAGAAGACAGTGGATGTGTATGGCCACGTGACGCTCATGCGGTCGCAGCGCAACTACATGGTACAGACTGAGGACCAGTACAGCTTCATCCACGAGGCACTGCTGGAGGCCGTGGGCTGTGGCAACACAGAGGTGCCCGCCCGCAGCCTCTACGCCTACATCCAGAAGCTGGCCCAGGTGGAGCCTGGCGAGCACGTCACGGGCATGGAGCTCGAGTTCAAGGTGCCAGTGGGATGGAGGCTGTCATGGGCGGAGCAGGGGCCCAAGGATATGGAGACCAGGGTTGCCTCGAGCCACAGGGACTAGAAAGTGGGGGTGGTGTCCCCCTGCCTGTTTTTCCACCATTAGCACTCTGTCCAAAATCACAGCCCTCCCCATGCCTGGAGAAAGCAGGCCCCGGGCCAGAGGCTGTCCTGAAGGTGGTCTCTGAGTCTCCTTGTCCCCACAGCGTCTGGCCAACTCCAAGGCCCACACATCCCGCTTCATTAGTGCCAATCTGCCTTGTAACAAGTTCAAGAACCGGCTGGTGAACATCATGCCCTACGAGAGCACACGGGTCTGTTTGCAGCCCATCCGGGGCGTGGAGGGCTCTGACTACATCAATGCCAGCTTCATTGACGGCTACAGGTACCATGCCTTGGTCACTGTAGGGCCCCAAAGGGATCCCATCTCTGTCCTCAAGAGGCCTCCAGTCTTGTGGGAAACAGCTGGGGAGAGACTGCCAGCCCTGGGCAGCCAGGGCTGGGTAGAGGGAATCTTTAGATATGTATGTAACTGATGGCTGCTGTCCATAACGTGGTCCCATCTGTTCTCCCTCATCAGTGGTTCTCAGTTGGTGAAATTCTGCCACCCAGAGGACTTTGGCAATGTCTGGGGACAATTTTGGTTGTCACAATGGCAGTTGGATAGGGGTACTACACTGAGTGAGTGGAGGCCAGGTGTGCTGCTCAAATTCTGCAGTGCACAGGACAGCTCCCGCCGTGGAGTGATCCAGCCGCCAATGTCAATAGCACTGAGAGTGAGAAACCCTCCTAGGGGAGGGTGTTCCAGACAGAGGATACCACATGTGCACGGTCCTGTCCTAGGGGAGGGTGTTCCAGACAGAGGATACCACATGTGCACGGTCCTGGAAGTGAGAGAGAGGTTGGCCAGGGCAAATAACTGAAAGTAGTTTAATGGCACTTGAGGGAGGAGGAAGGCAGGAGATGTCAGTAGACAGTTCTGCAGCTTCATCAGGGAGTTTGAATTCGTCCTGAGGCTGATGGTTTCCCTGTGTGTAGAATGAGATTGTTGGATGGTGCACTGGCCAGACATTCCTGAGTAGGCAGAGGCGTGGCAGGTGTGGCTTGGCCCTGCTGTGCCAGGCATCATCTGGTGAGTTCCAGGCCTGGGTCTCCCCGATGGCCCTGGGTTCACCCACACCACTCTGCAGGCAGCAGAAGGCCTACATCGCCACGCAGGGGCCTCTGGCAGAGACCACGGAAGACTTCTGGCGCATGCTCTGGGAAAACAACTCAACCATCGTGGTGATGCTGACCAAGCTGCGGGAGATGGGCCGGGTGAGCCAGGGGCCACAGCGGGCAGGGCGGGGTCTGGGCCAGAACTCAGGCAAGGCTGACCACAGCCACCGTCTCCTTGACAGGAGAAGTGTCATCAGTACTGGCCAGCAGAGCGCTCTGCCCGTTACCAGTACTTCGTGGTGGATCCAATGGCAGAATACAACATGCCTCAGTATATCCTGCGGGAGTTCAAGGTCACAGATGCCCGGGTGAGTGTAGGGACAGATTTCCAGGAGGGGCCAGAACCTGGACTGAGCTGGACAGGCTGCTCAGTGTTCCCTTAGTGATCTGGGGAGGGCTCCCTTGGTTGGTGGTAGAAGTAAAGGCCTGGGATAGGAGTAGGCACTGGGCATTGGAGAGAAGAGTGGGTTGACCAGTTATCCACTCCTACTACCAAGTAGGTGAAAGAGAAGGTCCTGTCCCTGTGCAGATCCCATAATGTTCCCACTGGAACATGTGTGACCATGACTCTGCTGACTAAGGTACATAGCCCCAGGGGGTTCAGGTAAAAGGGAATGAATAGAACTTTCCTCTGGGGCAACATCCTATAGAGGATGGTGTTGGAGGACTGAAAGGGCGAGGGAAATTCAAGGGATATAGGGTGAGGGATGGTGGACACAGGAGCTGTGGAATGAAAAAAGGGTGGTGGACAAAGAGTTGGGTGTTGGGAATTGGCACCACTGGGTGGGGAGGGATGAGGATGGAGAATGGATTGTGTTTGGTGGTGGGTGAAGAGCAGGCATTAGATGGCAACCTTTGAAGACTAACCATGGAAGGTGGTCTTGTGGGGTGGCAAAGGATTGAAATTCATGGTGGAAGATCAAAGTTAGTGAAGAATGCAGGGGTGAGACGATAGAGGATGTGGAATATTGGACACGATGACACCAGCACATGGTGAAGTCTGATTCATGAATAGCAGTCATTGGTAATGGTGCTGTGGGTGGTGCAAGATGGCACCATTGGGTTGGTGGAATGTGGGACTGGAGAATCGGTGGGAGATGGTATTGCTGGACGGTAGTGAACAAGGATGGTAGTGGATGGGAGGAGGAAAGGATTGAAGGATGGGCCATATATGTAAGAGAATGGAGAATGCCAATCGAGCATGGTACTATGGATCAGTGAAGGTGATGCTTTGTCAACGGTAGGTGGAAGAAGATGGGATTGGAGAATGTTTGGCCAGTAGGGAATGAAGAAAATCAATGGGAAGTACCTTCAAAAAATAAAGGATGAAGAACAATCAGTAGTCAGTGGTACAAGATAGAGGAAGATGGTGTTAGAGGAAGAGGATGTTGAATGGTGGAGGATGGAGACCATCTGGGGAAGATGGCATCACTGGATGGCAAATGGTAGCAAAGGATAACAATCTTGGATGGCACCATTTTGATGGTGGATGATGTCACTGGAAAATGGTGCCCTCAGATAGTGAACAGTAATGAATTATCAGTGATGGATGGAGGAAATGGTGCCATTGGGTTGTGAAGGATGGAAGATGGCAGAGTGATGGTGTTGGATGGCACTGTTGGGTGGTAGGTGGTAACTGGTGTTGCAGGAGGGAAGATGCTGGTGTTGGGTGGTGGTGCGATGCTCCACGATGCTAGAGGATCGTGGTGATGGAGAATGAGACTGGGAAGGGTAAGGGCTGGGTACACTGTTGGGTGGCAAAGGGTGGAGGATGGTAGAGAAGGGTAGTGTTGGATGTCACCTTGGCTGCAGTGGATGGTATTGGAGATGTAGAGAATGGGATGGTTGGGTGGTAGGGGGTGGACAATGTCTGGGTAAGATGGTGTCATTATTTGGTGACGACAGAGGATAGTAGAGAAGGATAGTGTTGGCATCCCTGGTGAAGATAAGGTTGTAGCATCTCAAAGGAAAATGGTGCCATTAGATTGTGAAGGACGTTGAGTTATCAGAGTGGGTGGAGGAAAAGGGGCAAAATGGGTCTGAGGATGGGGAAGGATGCAGGGTGGTGTTGGCTGGAGATGGAGAATGGGATTGAAGGTGGCAGGCAGAACACCCACGGCCACCGCTGAGGTCGATAGCAAGACGGGCTTCTCTCTATTGCAGGACGGCCAGTCCCGGACTGTCCGACAGTTTCAGTTCACAGTGGTGTTGGCTGGAGATGGAGAATGGGATTGAAGGTGGCAGGCAGAACACCCACGGCCACCACTGAGGTCGATAGCAAGACGGGCTTCTCTCTATTGCAGGACGGCCAGTCCCGGACTGTCCGACAGTTTCAGTTCACGATGGTAGCAAAGGATAACAATCTTGGATGGCACCATTTTGATGGTGGATGATGTCACTGGAAAATGGTGCCCTCAGATAGTGAACAGTAATGAATTATCAGTGATGGATGGAGGAAATGGTGCCATTGGGTTGTGAAGGATGGAAGATGGCAGAGTGATGGTGTTGGATGGCACTGTTGGGTGGTAGGTGGTAACTGGTGTTGCAGGAGGGAAGATGCTGGTGTTGGGTGGTGGTGCGATGCTCCACGATGCTAGAGGATCGTGGTGATGGAGAATGAGACTGGGAAGGGTAAGGGCTGGGTACACTGTTGGGTGGCAAAGGGTGGAGGATGGTAGAGAAGGGTAGTGTTGGATGTCACCTTGGCTGCAGTGGATGGTATTGGAGATGTAGAGAATGGGATGGTTGGGTGGTAGGGGGTGGACAATGTCTGGGTAAGATGGTGTCATTATTTGGTGACGACAGAGGATAGTAGAGAAGGATAGTGTTGGCATCCCTGGTGAAGATAAGGTTGTAGCATCTCAAAGGAAAATGGTGCCATTAGATTGTGAAGGACGTTGAGTTATCAGAGTGGGTGGAGGAAAAGGGGCAAAATGGGTCTGAGGATGGGGAAGGATGCAGGGTGGTGTTGGCTGGAGATGGAGAATGGGATTGAAGGTGGCAGGCAGAACACCCACGGCCACCGCTGAGGTCGATAGCAAGACGGGCTTCTCTCTATTGCAGGACGGCCAGTCCCGGACTGTCCGACAGTTTCAGTTCACAGACTGGCCGGAACAGGGTGTGCCAAAGTCGGGGGAGGGCTTCATTGACTTCATCGGCCAAGTGCATAAGACCAAGGAGCAGTTTGGCCAGGATGGTCCCATCTCTGTCCACTGCAGGTGAGATTCGTCAAGTCCATTGCCCAGCTGGGGAAACTGAGGCCTAGGAGGGCAGCCCCAGGCTTTTAGCAGTCCAGTTAAGGCTATTTGAGTCCTCGGGGAGTCAGGCAGTCACATCCCACCCCTGAACTGCTGTGCTCACCCCAACAGTGCCGGCGTGGGCAGGACAGGGGTCTTCATCACTCTCAGCATCGTGCTGGAACGGATGCGGTATGAAGGCGTGGTGGACATCTTTCAGACAGTGAAGATGCTGCGGACCCAGCGGCCAGCCATGGTGCAGACAGAGGTAAAGACAGGACAGGGAGGGGAGGCAGCCTGGCCTCAGTTTCCTCCTCTGTGAGATGGGCACAGCCACCCTGGAGTCTGTTTGTTGTTGTAGGTGGACAGTCCACAAACACCTTCTGTTTGGGGCTGGGAGGTGTCAAGTCAACCCTTTTGAAACAAGAGTTGACTGAAGGCCAAAGCCCAGTAGTGTCCCTTGGAGTGGACAGAGATGGGTCCATTCGCAGTCCTAGAGTCACAGCAAGTTCATAGCTCAGCCAGGACCCTGCCCTGGACCACACAACTTAAAAGTCCAACCACTCAGTTTCCCGATGGGGAAACTGAGGCCCAGAGCTTGAGTCACAGACTCCTAGCCCTGAAGGGAATGTTCCTGATGGGGCACACTGCTGAGCCACCAGGCGGACAGGGGAGAGGGCATTCCAGGTGGAGGGCTCAGCCCGTGCAAAAGCTAGGAAGTGTGACATGGCTCCCTGCATTTGGGGACCCCTCCCTCTGGAGAGGACTGTGGGGCTGAAGGGGTCTTCAAGAGAGAGACACACACCATCTGAGGAGGTTGGCTTGCTCCTGAGGGCAGTAGAGAGCCCTGGGAGGCGTCAGAGAAGGGAGGTGCTGACACGGTCCCTGTTCCCCTCTGCTCCCGCAGGACGAGTACCAGTTCTGTTACCAGGCGGCACTGGAGTACCTCGGAAGCTTTGACCACTATGCAACCTAAAGCCATGGTCCCCCCTGGCCCGACACCACCGGCCCCAGATGCCTCTGCCCACACTGGGTGGACCCTCGGAGGCCTGACCCGCAGCGGGCAGGGCAGGAGGCAGCGGCGGCAGCTGCATTTCTGCGCAGTCTCTGAGGATGACGCAGCCCCTCAAGCCCCCGCACGGCACCAGCCGACCCTGCGACCTCCCTGGCCCCGGCCGCTGCCTTCAAATACTTGGCACATTCCTCATTTCCTTTTGATTCCAAAACAAGAGGTTCCGGAGTGGGGGTGGGGGGGTGGTTAGCAAACAGGGGTGCTCCCAGGACCAGAGGGTGGGGCACAGACCGTGGACTGAGCCCTTGTCCTCCCTGGGGACCCTGCCCTACAGCCTGGGGGCGCTGGGCTTGGGGGCAGAATCCAGCTTTCTTTTAAAACTCAGTGTAACTGTATCCTGTGACACTTCCTTTTTTTTTTTTTTTAAATAGTGTATTTTTTTTTCCCATTTTTTTTAAAAGAAGAAACAAACAAAAAAGACTTGTCAGTCAATGAATTTAAAGAGAACAACTTTGCTTATTCATATTCTGTTCAAAGACAGTCTATTTTTTCACTGTAGAAAACGTCCTTGTGTGATAGTTATGTTTGCAGACGCGTGTGCTGGGCCCACGGCTGTCCCTTTGGCTTTTTTTTTTCTTATTGTCATCAGACAGTGTGCCTCGCTTATGGACGAATGGGACATCCTTTTTGCGCCTGGCTTTTCTTCCCTTTTTGCTTTTTTATTTCCCCTACTTTGTTTCATTTTTTTTTTAATTACATTTTTAGACATATCAAGTACGGTTCTGAGGGTGGGGTAATGGGGGGGACTCAGGCCCACCAGCGTCAGATTTGAACCCACCAGGGGAGGGGGTGACACGCTACTGAGGAGATGGCAGTCCCCAGCCCACCCCACCCCCATGGCAGCCTGAGCTCCTTATCTCAGAAGGGTCCTGCTTCTTTGGTGAGAGTGGCCGTGTGCTGCCCCGCATCAGGGACCCATTCCCCCTGGGACTGTGGGGTAGTTTGGGGGCAGAAGTAGAAGGATGGGATTCCCCCACCCCAAGCAAGTGAGTTTTTCTCTTTGTACAAGAGCAGATCTGACGTTGCTTTCAACACTGTTTATTCCAACGGAAGCAGCTGGGTGGTTTTCCCACCTCTGTGTATGTAGATATATCAACTTTGTATAAAGGAAGATCATCCGACCCTGGCCTGTGGTGGAGTGTTTGCTGTGCCTTCACCCTTCCTGCCTCATCCCTGGGGCCAGTGGGGGGAGCTGGAGAGTCAGTGTTTTCTCATTTCAATGTACAAATAGTCTGACGAGGAGTTGGACCAGAGAGGTGGTGTTACTTGTCTAAGATCACACAGCAACAAAGTGACCAGGCTAAGATTTGAACCCAGAACCCAAGCCCTGGCCCTGTAGAGGCTAGCTCATGTTTGCATTATAACAGCGACCTTCATTAAGAATCTACTGTGGGCCAGCCACTTGAGTTAGGATTCACCAGCCCCATTCACAGATCAGATCACTATTTCTTCCCCATGCACTAGGTCACCCAATGAGTGGGCTCTGAGCTAGAGTCATACCCCGGTTGATGGAGGGTAAGACATTTATTTTGTGTCTACACCTTTGCCTGAGTCACTTCCACTTCTGGCATCAAAGCCACCCACAGCAGCCAGATATGGAACAAAGGATCCCCCCACACACACACCCTATGGCCTCAGAGAAGCTCTAGGGATGAGAAAGGGTGATCTTGGTGAGGGAAGGGGCCCGGCCTAGGAAAGAGTGGGGTTACCTTTTTTAGAAACCAACAGGTCAGGTAGTCAAAAAATAAACAGATGAGATTAACACCATTAATAAACTTAGTCAAATAAATTTATCAAACCCTATATGCCCTCTACACCCAAATTCTCAAACAGCATGGAACATTTATAAAAGTCAACATTTATAAAAAGCAGTGGAAATCTTCACAATTTCCAGGAAATAAATAAGATAGCCTCATCTTGGCTCTGAGGAGTAGATTCTGCAATAAAGTTAGACTTCCCTGAAAAGACATACTACGGGAAATTTTAAAACTTATGTAAGGGATGGGTTAAAGAAGGAATCAGCATAAAAGTTACAAAGTTATAAAAACTGAACAATTCAGGGGCCGGCCCGGTGGCGCACTGCTACAGTGCGCCGCTTGGGAAGCGCGGTGGCGCTCCCGCCGAGGGTTCGGATCCCACGTACAGACCGGTTCCCGCTCACTGGCTG